ACATTAAGCACCCGCCAGAGTGCCAAACATTTGAAAGTGTGAAGACAGCATGTGTTATTGAAGAGGCAGAGCAACAGAAATCTCTTGGAGGCCTAGTGAGAGTGTAAATTTGTACAATCATTTTAGAATACAGTTTGGCATTGTCTAAGTTATAGGCAGGCATTCCCAGCAATTCTAGACATGAGTATATTTCTCTCTTGTTTTTGTATTCATTATCCATAAAAGTTGGAAACAATACAAATATTCAGCAACAGTAGAACAATGATTATTTGCTGAAGATGGCTTGCCTCTGCTCCCAAATCCAAGGGAGTCTAAGCTGTGGTTCTCCTAGCAGGGCTTGCACAGACTTTGTTCAGCATTCGAATCTAATACATGTCAAACATCACTGCATAAGCTGGACATTAAAACACAAGTGACAGCATTGCTTGCAATGCCTCTTGGACCACCTGGAAAGCCTTCTTTTATTTAGGTCTCACTCAAAGTTGGCAGTCTTCCAATTCAATTGTTTTTTTGTTTGTTTGTTTGTTTTTGTTATTTAAAGCAGCATATGCAAATACAGCAAATCTCTCTCCAAATTCCAAAAAGGTCCATGAAATGCTTTATCTCATTCACAATGGTAGCTGGGACAAGGCGATACCTCAACATGGCCCAGCCCAATTTTACTTAATTGACAGTCTTCTGAATTTTCTTGAGGCTTATCTCCCACCCTATGACAAACATATGTCATACCTAAGATATCTAGAGAATTTGCTCTTTCCATTTCGTCAGGCCCAAGGGGCTCATGAAATGGTCAAGTTCCTTAGGAACTAAACTATGACAGACAGCCAGAATTGACATAGGCTTTAAGCAAAACAATGAAGGTCTATTGCTATTCCTGTTTGCCGAAAGAAAACTGCTTTTGGTTTTCTCTGTTAACTGGATAGAGGAAAAAAAGCATGTTTCATATTAATATTGGCCTAATAGGAACATGAGGCTGTGATAATTTGTTCCAATAAAAAGACCATGTAAGGAGTAGTAGTGACCATAATTGTTATGAACTAATGTTAAGATGCATCGATCTTCTGCACAGACCAAGTAGGTGAGTTGAATGTGGGTATGATGGAAATCATCTTCCTGCCATTTTCAAGTTTTGATCATGGCACAAAACTTCAGTTCCTCCAGGAGTTTGGTAATGCTTGGTTTCCTATTTAGGTAAGGAATAGTCAGTTCCATCATATTTCACCTGGCCCTTTCTATCATAACATCCCTTATTGCCCATGCTGCAAGGGTCAGGGAGGCATTTTATGAAGATTCTGTCTGTTGCTGAGTATATCATTTCAAAGTATGTATTCAGGAATTAAGGAAACAACTACAGGGAGAATTTGTAAACCTATTCAGCACACCAGGAGACTGATTTAGCCAAAACTTCACTTATTATCTGACCCCTCTAAATTATAGTCACCCTGTTGGTGGAACACAGAGGTATTCAGGTCCTCAGAGTTTAGAATCAGATCAAAGCCATTGCCCACTAACTTTGAAAAGTCTGGGTACTCCGTTTCTCCAGTGGAGTCACCCTGCTTTAAGAAAGGCAAAGCAGGAAATTTACAGTCCATACTTGTGGCAGGGTGACAAGATTTTCCATCAAGGATACCCAAAATCCTCCTCATTCAAGATGTTCTAGGTAAGTAAACTGGCTTAGGTCTGGTAATTCAATAAGAGGATGTGAGTATTCATGTGGTCATTCAAAGTAGACCTCTCTTTAACAAAATTAAAAATAATTTTTGGTTATATAGGTCAAGATTTTACTAGTGTGCTTTTCCATTTCGGTCTCAGTAACACCATGATTAATTCGTCTTAAGGATGCCAATTACTATTGTCAAGAATTTCTTAATCAAACATCCTTATGATCACTTTGGTGCTTTTTCTCTCATAAACGCTACAAATTGGCTTTTGTTAGTCTGGGATCTTGTTATCTTTAAGGAAATCAAAAAGTACATTCCCATCTTCATTCCAGGCTGCCTAAAACAGCCACGATGAGGCTTTTTCAAGAATGCTGGGCTTGCCTTTCCAATATATCCCTCAATTTTTGGTTAAAGGGGTGAAGTGGATATGGTAAGTCCTCTCTTAACATTTTTATTTCCCAAAGTCTTTGGATTTCTTGCTCTACTTTTCAACTATAAATTTCAGTCACTCTAAATTTACTTAGCATAAGCCACCATATAGTCCAGGTTTCTTTCATCCTGTCAATTTAGCAAACTGTTTTTACCACTCGCAATTGCTTGAGTTAGCACATCAAATCCAGATTCTGTGATAAATGTATCCATATCATTAAATTTGAACCAGTCTAAAATTACATTCCTTCATTCCTGGCCTGCATCTGTTCCCAATAATATTTCTCTAAGTTTTTACTAGCATAAATTAGCAAAAGATTGCGATTCTTTTGCAATAACCAGTCTGTGAGTCTCCACTTTAAGAGTTTTTGGCCCATATTATGTACCAAATATTGAATCAGTTCGGTGAAGATTAATAAAGGAAATCAAGTGTGTCAGAATGACTGGAGGAGCAGGTTCTAGGTTTGGTTTCTTGGAATGACTTTTCCAGAACTATGCTGAAAGCAAGAAGCCATCATTGTTACTGCCATGACTGTTTCTCACACCCAGGAAGCTAGAGGGAAAAAATCCTTAACTCACCAAACAAAGAATGGAAATAAAGAGTAAAACTTTGTTATTCACAGATGTTATGACCGTGTATGTAGGAAGTCCTAAAGAATTACCAAAACAACCTAATAGAATTTAGCACAATCTAAGAGATGAGTTCAATATATAAAAATCAGTTATATTTCTATAAACTAACAACAATTAGAAAGTAAACATTTAAAAATACCACTTATGCAAGCTTAAAAAATATCAAATATCTAGGAATAAAGGTCACAAAAGGTGTAGAAGAGCACTACACTGAAACCACAAACACTACTGAGAGAAACTAATGACCTACATACAGAAATACACAGTGTTCATAGTTCTTGGGTTGGATATCAGTTCTCCTAAACTGACAGATTCAAGGTAATTCCGATAAAAATTCCAGTAGACTTTTGACAAGACATTGACAAATTGACTCAAAATTTACATGAAGACAAAGAATCTAGAATAGCCAAAACAATATTGAAAAGAAAATAATAAAGTTGGAAATCTTATGCTTTCTGATAACAAGAACTCAAACAAGAACAAAGCCTCAGTAATGAAGATGGCGTAGTACTGGCATAAAGATGACAAAGAAAACATCACTGAGCAGAAAAGGGAGGCCAGAAATTGTCCTAGACCTATAGAGTCAGCTGATTTTTGAATAAGGCAATGTGAAAAATAAAAGTCTTTGCAAAGACTGTGGGAACTGGATATCTGAGGAAAAAAAACTGAACCTCAACCCCAACCTCACTCTGTACGTAAAACTTTGAGATGTAGTGGTTCTCTTCAAATTGTCTCTATTATTAAAAAAAGAAAAGAAAAGAAAAGAAAAATTATCAGAGTACAAAAGAAAGAAGGTATTGATGGTTTGTGGAGAAGGTATGACAGAGTATTCGAGAAGAGTAGCAACGGGCCTGGAAAATATAATATACTTGTTGGCAGACTTAAAAATTAATTTGAGGTTTGTTAAATTACAGTTGGGTTTTGTCAAATGCGTATGGAAGACTTAAACTATGGAAAAGTTAATGTAACTTTCTGTGTCTTAAGTTTCCTCATCTGAAAATAAGGATAACATTACCTCCTCAAAGCTTTGTTGAATCAAACGAGTTAACATACATAAAGCACTAAGAACAGTGATTGGCTTGATAAGTGCTTTCTAGTTGGCTGCTGCTATATCATTATTATCATTTAGATAGGTAGCCATTAAAGTGGTTAAAAGTGCCTGGCTCGGTGGCTCAGCCTGTAATCCCGTGCTTTGGGAGGCCGAGGTGAGTGAATTACCTGAGCCCGCAGGTTCGAGACCTGCCTGGGCAGCTTGGCGAGACCTCATCTCTACAATAAATCAAAAAAATTAACGGGGTGTGGTGGCTTGTGCCTGTAGTTCCAGCTACTTGGAAGGCTGAGGCGGAAGGATCGTCGGATCCCAGCAGGTCGAGGCTGCGGTGGCCAGGAGCGGCCACTGCACTCCAGTCTGGGCGACTGAGTGAGACCCCAACTCAAAAAATAAATAAATAAATAAAAATAAAAAAATAAAGTGGTTAAAAGCATGAACTCTGAAGCCAGTCTACACCACTTAGGATCTAAACCCAGCTACAATACCTACCGACTATACATATGACTGGGGCAAGCCATTGAACCTCTGTGCCTCAGTTTCCTCATGTAAAATGGGAATTATCACCATAACCTGCCTCAGAGGGTTTTTTTGTGTGGGGATTAGATGAGTCAATATGTGTAAAATACTTAGAATAGTGCCTGGTAGTTAGGACTTTTTGTTACCTGTTATTAAAATTAGTTTTGTAATTATTTTAAGAATGCCCTAAATTCGTCATGCAAGTATTTGCAAAAATTCTCCCAATTTTTCCAGTATTTCTTGAGCATAAACTGGTGATTCCAATACTGTTTACTAACTCCCTTAAGCCATTGCTAATCAAATTAGGTAACATATCCAAGGTCACACAGCTAGTAACATATCATAACATAACAACTAATATAACAAGCACTTAATTACTATTATACTGCTCCTTAACATGCTATATAGAGCTATTATAATGAGCTGAGTTAATCAAGTACAGGCATAAATATATTAAAGTAACCAGTTAAGTGAAGGTGTACCTTAAAACTAGTAAAAAATTTGAGAAGATAATTCAAAAGACGTTAGTGGATAACCTTTTCTTCTGTTTTCTCACAAAAACAGAAACAAAAATTGGACTACCATTGACAATATTGTTATTGGAAGTATATTACCAGAAAACTGAGACATTTTAATCTGAAGTTTCATTTCAATTTCAGTAAAAATATTATGCTATAATATCACATTTAAATAAAAATTTAAAGTCATACCTGACTATGGCGTCTTCTACCGATAGCTGTATCATCTTCATTTTTCCAAAGAAACTGACTTAAAGGGAATGACAGATTTGAAAGTCATATTAAAACATGATCCCATAAATATTAGCTTTTCATATTTTATAATTTTATTTGATGTTCTGTGAATACAAATATAACATTAAAATTTTTCAAAGTCAGCCTGAGACCAATATCATATTTCCTTTCAAATTTATTAATGACAAACACAAACTTACATTCAGTATCAGTAATAAAATCATATTTCATTATATTATAGCTAAATTGAAATCACAGTACAATAGCTATAGTAAGATAAAATAGCTGAAAAACTTAGAAATATATTTGTTATTTTTTGTGATAATAATTATTTATGAAAACCCTTGTCTTCATTTCAAAAGACTATATACAAAACTCTTGTCTAGGTACTATAATTTTGAGTAAAATGATACCAATGTGAAAATCAAGCACATTGATTAGTTTAGCTATAACTAGGAACCTAAGAGAGGCAAAATATTCAGTTTAACAGAGGCAAACAGGTTGCCCTGATAACAAAAAGATTACAACAGAAATAAATTTAAGTTATAAATTATCCCTCATTATATCAGAGAGGAATGTTAGCATAAAACCAAAAATCTGAATCAAAGTAATTTTCATTAAAAATATCATTAATTGACTGGGCACGGTGGCTTAAGCCTGTAATCCCAGCACTTTGGGAGGCCGAGGCCGAGGACTGCCTGAGCCCGCAGGTTCGAGACCAGTTCGGGAAACTTGGTGAGACTTCATCTCAACATAAATCAAAAATTAGCCAGGCGTTGCAGTGCGCACCTGTAATTCCAGCTCCTTGGAAGGCTAAGGCAGAAGAATCACCATAGCCCAGCAGGTCGATGCTGGAGTGGCTGTGAGCATGCCACTGCACTCCAGTCTGGGCGATGGAGTGAGACTCCAACTCAAAAAACAAACAAAAAAAATCATTAATTTTACTCATATCTTTGTTTGTAGTAGAAGTCCTCATAACAGTACTCTGGATATCTCACTCTTTTTCTTATAGCTTAGATTATGACACATGGAGCCAACATCTACATTAACTACCTTTTTTTACAGCTGAAATAATTATTTGAATCTTCCATTGATCCTGGCAACTCAGAATTTCCAATTTGACTTCTTGCAGTCTGGCTTTCCTTTAGAGTAGCTTTTCCCACAGCTGATGTAGATGGTCATCCATGGCAAATAAAGTTCAGAATATTAAGAAAATACTAAAAGAAAATGTTGTTTTTACATCTATAATCTTGTCCTATGTTTCAGAATCCCTATGAACTTTACTATATAGATATAAGGCAACAATTTCCAAAGTGAATTTCATGAAACGGTTTATGTAAAAAGGAAATTCTTTGATTAATTCAGCTTAGGAAACATTGAATGAAGCAATATTAAGCAGCAACACAACCCTTTATACACACACACACACAATCCTATCTTTGAAGGATTTCTCTGTCTCTATGGACAACTGAATCTTCCAAGAGGAGGTAGGGTAGGGTGTCCTCAAATTTAATTGTCTTTAGAAACCTTTTGCTAAGAGCTTCTTTTGAAATAGTGCACCGAGGAACCTTCTCTGGAAAATGCTGGTATAAATACAGCACATAAAATGTCATGGGTTATTTTACACACATTTTCATTTCAGGACTATGTTCTACATACTACAATTGACTCTTGAGTATGTAGCAACAAATCCTTGTCCTTAAAGAGTTTACAATATTTATGAAAATAAAATTTTTTAAAAACTGAACTATTTTTCAAAAAAGTGACAAACCACAGAGCAAGTAAAAGTTCAAACCAGGACTGTGGAGGAAAATTGAATTATACTTGTTTACAGATAAAAAGTATTTTCACATATATTGTATTATCCAATTTTGCACCTCACAATAAGGAAGAATAATAATGAATGAGAAATTGCCCTGCCAGATATACAAAAATTATTAATGTCCATACCAGTTCAGAAGATGGATAAATAGAACAGAGTAGAGAGTCTAAAAGTTGTCATGTACATGTAAGAATTTAGTATATGGTAAAGATGTCACTTGAAATCAGTGAGGAAGAAATGAATGGACATTCTGGGACAGTGGAAATGCATTTGGAAGAAATAAATGTATACTACCTCACTCTATATATCAAACACATTCAGGAGATCTAAAAAACTAAAAATTAAAAGCTCAAATCATAAATTTAGCCAACAGGCCAGGATGTGAAATACGACACTACTCCCAGTTTTGGGCAGGGCAACTGCCAACCTCCTTACCACTTGACCTTGTATGTTCAGGAACACTGGGAACACTGGGATTCTACTTTGAATTTTTGTTTTGTTTCCTAGGTGTTTCCCCCCCCCCCCCCCCCCCCCCGCCCCTTAGCCTTTAAGTGATTGTCATGACTGGAAAGCAGAGACATATCTAGATAAAAAAGAAGGTGAAGGCTCTTCCTGACAAGCAATAAACAGTCAACATCAAATGCACCTCAGATTAAAGCAAGTCCTGAATTTAGAACATTGCCAGTTTTAGCAAATATTTAGAATACAAGAAATGTAACTGGTTAAGAACTTGTATATTCTACAGCTGTAATGACGGTCGTCATTAGTTTCTGGGGATTCATTTATAAATGCTTAGTATATCTGCTTGTCTCCCCTAACAGTTTATTTCTTTCAGTAACTTGGTAGAAAAGTGCACCTGCTTTTGTCCTGTTGATTCCTAGAGTGTAGCAGTGTAGTTAGTTTTATTTGTTTTTGTGAGTCTAACTTTGATTTAAGCATTTTTAAATCACCTATTCCTTTTAAAAAATCAGATTATTAGTAAATTGATAAGTGTGATCAAATACAAATTTTTAAGTTCTTTAAAATACATCCATCCCCCAGTCCCTCCCCACCTTGTTTGATACTGTTTTCCTGATCCTTCTGGACTCTGAAGGATATCAAATTTTAATGTAGTAATCCTTCTTTTCTCTTCCCCTATAGCCCTAATAATATTATCTGAAACTATTTTGTTACAAAAGAAGTAAAGGTGGTAGAGTTTATTTAAGTGCTGTAATTATTTTAATTTTATTATTGACTGATTTGATTCTTATTTTTTTGAGTCAGGGTCTCACCCTGCCACCAAGGCTAGAGTGCAGTGGCACAATCATGGATCACTGCTGCCTCGGACCGCCAGGGCTCAGGTGATCCTTCCATCCCAGCACCATCCCCAGCTAATTCTTTTGTTTTGTTTTTTGTAGGCCCAGGCTGGTCTCAAAAATGATCTTTTACACAAATCCCAACATGAACCATAACTTTACTTTTATGCTGCTTCTATTTGTGAGGCTAGGATGGCCCAGAATTTTTTCTCTCAGAGCTGACTGCTAAAATGTACTACAGTAACCTCTTTGTCTTTCCCATTGCAGTTGGAATCACCTTCTTCCATACTCTTGTTAAGAAGCTCTTTCAAAGTGTTTTCTAATAAACTGGGATAAAATCCAGGCTCTCCCTCTGAGACACTAACTGGTCTGTGGATTGTTTCATCAGCCTCAGTAACACCATTATTAGTCTGCTGCTCATCTAAAGTAACTGTTGATGACGTTGAATAAACATTTCCTAAATGGTCCATTACAGGAAGCAAATATAACTCTGGTTGAAGAGCCTAAGACATATAGGAAATTTTAAAAATTAGTTTGCAATTAAAAAACAGCAAGTTAAAAATTAGTGTAAGTTTAAAATGTCACATTACACACATATGGAGGAGCAAATGATTTGAGTTTCAGTTTTGATTCTTGCTTTTCTTTCACCTAGAAATAAATAAATAAGAACAAAAGTAAAGTTTTTGTAACATTTTTCAATTATTTTTTGCCTCTACTTTTTTTTTTTTTGCAGAAGGCATATGTTTATGGAATATAAATCAATTTTAAAAGCTAGATTACAGAAAAGTAAACCATAGTCCTGCATATTTTATGTTATTTAATAATAGTAATAATTATGGCTATCACTTGCTTGGACTCACTGTGTGCCAGGCACTGCTATAAGTGCTTCATACATACTGTATTAATTCAGTAAATCCTCTCAGCTTCATGTGACAGGCACTAATATCCCCAGTTTACAGACAAGGAGATTGAGTTAAAGAGAAGTTATGTATCCTGTCCAAGACTGCATATCTAGGAAGTTTCCAAACTGTGATCCAGAACCAGTTCATCTGACTCCAGAGTCCAACTTAGTAAACTTTATTTCTTACATACTCAACCCATAGGGGTTCATTTGTTATTTACTCATATAACAAATACTGAGGGCATGCTATGTGTTGGGCAGTGTTCTACATTGGTAGGGATGCAATGATAAATAAAGCAAAGTCCCTGCTCTCATGGAGCTTGCGTTCTACTTGGGAGGGCAGATATTAAAGAAATAAACACAATTTAGGATTGTGACATGTGTTTTATGAAAATAAAATACAATGATAGAATAGTCATTCGAAGAAAGAATATCTAAAAGTCAGGTGGTTAGAGAAGGCCTTTTTGAAAAGATAATACTTGAGCTGAAGCTGATGACAAGCTCATGCCTGTAATCCCAGCACTTCAGAAGGCGGAGGTGAGAGGATTGCCTGAGCCCACGGATTTTGGGCAACATAGTGAGACCTCATCTCTACAATAAATCAAAAAATTAACTGGGCATGGTGGTGTGCACCTGCAGCTCCAGCTACTTGGAAGGCTGAAGTAGAAGGATCAGCTGAACCCAGCAGGTCAAGACTGTGGCGGCCATGAATGTGCCACTGCACTCCAGCCTGAGTGACGGAGTGAGACTCTGACTCAAAAACAAACAAAAAGAAAAGATAATACTTGAGCTGAGACCTGAATTATGAAAAGCAGCAGCCAGCTATCTGAAGGTCAGGGCAAAGTCATTTTCAGGCGAGTGTCAGGACCAAAAATCAGAGATGAGTTTGTCATATTTGAGGACTGAAGGAAGATTTTTGCAGCTGAAGCATTAAACCAACAAACAGCAGTAGATGAAATCTGAGAAGCAGCCTATATTCCTCGGGCCCTCCTTATAGCTTGCCTGAACCATGGTAAAATTCTCCTAGGCAAAATCCCTGCTTCTAGTTTCTTCCTACTTCCATCTGTCCTTTTCAGTGAAGCCCAATTCATTTTACTGAAGGTTCTGATGGTGTTTTGTTAAAAAATAAAAATAAAAAAAAAACAACCCCCCCAAAAAAAAAAACTTCCATGGCTTCAGAAAAAAATCCAGACTATTAATCTGGTTCAGGACCTTCAACAAACTATCTGATATCTTGCTCTTTACCATTCCCTTTCACGTAGTCAGTGCTCCACTTAAAAAATGAACCATTTATTCTTTCTTGGTTGTTTGCTTTTCTACTTCTGTGCTCATTCTATTTTCTCTGCTCATGAAGCTTTTTTCACCTTTCATCTTTGCAAGATCAAATATTTATCTTTTAAGATCCAATCTGAATATTGCTTCTTCCTCCAAGTTCTCAACTACCCCACTTACTCTGCTGGAATTAATCTCTTTTTCTTTTGAATATACAAAATATGACATTTGATTTATTTAATTTATATATTTTATCTTCATCACTACAGTGAGTACTCTTTAGGGACAGGATCCGTATTCAGTTCTTTTTTCTACTTTTGTATATGCAAAACCATCAATAAATATTTGCTGACAATAATAAAATATAGACAGATTTTAGACATTGGCCTAAATTACCTTTAAGGTCCAACCTGGGATTCTGTGATTAGTATTTTGTACATAGATGTACCATGAAAAAGAACAAAAATTACACCGGGCACAGTGGCTCATACCTATAATCCCAGCACTTTGGGAGGCTGAAATGAGAGGATTGCCTGAGCCCACGGGTTCGAGAACAGCCTGGGCAACTTGGCGAGACCTCATCTCTACAAGAAATCAAAAAATTAGCTGGGCGTGGTGGCATGTGCCTGTAGTTCCAGCTAGTTGGAAGGCTGAGGTGGAAGCATCACCTGAGCCCCGTGGGTCGAGACTGCGGTGGCCGTCAGCTTGCCACTGCACTCCAGCCTGGGCGACAAAGTTTTCTTCCCTATTTGGGGAAACTTAATGATCAGTACATTAATATTCATATGCCAGAAGGCATACTAAATAGAACCCTAATGATAAAAACTTTTTCAAATTTAGCTATGGATCCCAAGAATCCCACACAGCAAATTATGGTAGTACTTTGGGGGAAAATGCTTACTTTTTCCATTACCATTCATTATTAAATCTGTTCAATGAATAGTATTTAAACAATTCTAAGTTCAAAACACCTTGGTAGGTACTGCTTATAAATACAATGGTGAATACAATAAAGTCCCTATCCACAAGAAGCTATAATCTAATAGTAGAAGTTGACGTTAAACAAATAACCCCATAAAAAAAACACATAACACTGATATATATGTTAACTAGAGTAGAATAAAAATATACTGCATCTTAAAGAGATTAAATATCAGAAATGTTGATTAAAGAAATAAACTTTATATAGATAAGAGAAACCAGAAACTTTGAAAGTTGATGGGTTGTTTGACAGGGAATTTCAGCTAGGAATACTCTCTACTTAGAACATCTTGCCACTAAGTCATACAAACTACAAATAGGAGTGCTCAACAGATAACAGTTAACACCAAAACCTATGCTGGCTCAGATTACTTTCATACCAAATGAGGATAGTTGTGGCCCAAGCAATGAGAACCTAATTTTTCTACAGAGTACAAGTACTTGTTTAAAACACTTTTGAAAACTGTCTTTTAAATTTTAGAAATGTATTATTTATATGATCACATTTTAAATTTGTCTTTCTTTTCTTCTCAGGGACATTCACCCACATAAACCCCATCATTTTTGTGCTTGATAGCAAGCCAATGAGGTTCATCTTTCTAGAGCTGTGTGCTTAGTGATCTTTCCATTTCATTATGATTGAAATTACATACCCCATAGTATTTAAGAAGCTGAGTCAATAAGCGTTTAAGAAACATAATTTGATAAGGTCACTTTTCCTTAATCAGAAGGAAAACAAACAAGGAAACTTACCACAGCTAAATTATTTCCAATGCATTTTAGAAATAAAAATTTTTCTGCAACAGCATCTTCGCCAAGGAACTCACCAAGACGCTCCCTCAGGGCTTGTAAAGTAAGTTGAGGAGATACTCTGAAATATCATGAAATTGCTTTCTAATATAAAACTAAACAGCTTTGGGATATACTAATGATTCAGTAACTTTAGTCAGTTATCACAAACACGAATATTGATTTAACGTGTCAGATATGGCTTAGCATATTATGTTTTTACATTGCCTAGCACTTTATAGGTCTCCCGTAAATCTTTTAAAATAAATAATCACCTTCCTTTTACAATTATGCAAATGAAGACTGTTTATACTCTTTTTGCACTGAAAGGAAAATTGTCTATTTTGATAATCTCCTTCTAAATTTTATTGTTAAAACAGAACTTTGCTATGGAATGTATATACTCTTATTCATATATTCAGGAATAATTTAGTCACCGATATTTATTTTGGAAGTTTGGCAGGAGTAGCTAGTGCCTAAAGTTTTTAAAAAATCTAATGTTGTCAGACTACACATCAGTGTTCACCAGGGATACTTCATTCCTCAATGTCTAAAACTTAAAACCATCACTTATGCTGAGGTTGTGACTTCTTGTTTTACTAGGATCTTACGGGAACTATTAGATCATTCATCCAATCAACAAATATTTATTGAACATCTACTATGTGTTAGACATTATTCCAGGAGATGGTCATATGACAATAAACAAAACAGATAAAAATCTCTGCCCTCATAGACTTTATAATCTAGTAGCAAGAGAGAAAAATTAACAAAATAAATAAGTAAAAAATATTATTCATAAGACACTGCTAAGTATCACAGAGAACAATAAAGCAGAAAAGGGAGAAAGGGATTACTTGTGATTTAAAACATAGTAATCAGAGAATATCTACACACAAAAATAATATTTAAGTAAAGACCTGAAGGAGGTGGGAGTAAAAATGGTTAGGGCAGAAAACTCACTGTAGACAAAAGGAACAGAGAGTATATAGGTTCTAGGGAGAGCTGTGTCTAATGTGTTCCAGAACAGAAAGGAGGCTGATATGGTTGAAGAAAGTGGTTAAGAAGCTTAGGAAGAGAGGTGTGCTCAAGGAAGAAAACAACCGGCAGTTAGATCATGTAGTGTCATATGTGTGTTTCTGTGAATGTGGAAACACACATATTTACATATAAGTATACATAATACATATGTTCTTTGTTTATCCTTTCAAGAGTTCAGAGAAAGGGCATTGTGGATATATTGCTTTAACTATTATCCAAAGTTCTTTAACAGTCTTTTAAATTCAGATAACTTCTCTTCTAATTTTCTTTGTGTATAAACATAATAATACACGGGTTATACACTGTTTCTTGGGTGGCAGTATTCTGGCCAAGTGATCTGTTCCTACAGAATTGTTTGATTTAACTGTTATGTGGCACTATCTTACTGATAGTATTCATTAAGTTAGGAAATTGACCCATCGCATGAACAAGATGTTTTTCTTTTTTTTTTTTTTTTGAGTTGGAGTCTCACTCTGTCGCCCAGACTGGAGTGCAGTGGCACGCTCCCAGCCACCACAGCCTCAACTTGCTGGGCTCCGGTGATCCTTCCCGCCTCAGCCTTCCAAGTAGCCGGAACTACAGGCGCGTGCTACCACGGCTGGCTAAGTTTTTGATTTATTGTAGAGATGAGGTCTCACCACGTTGCCCAGGCGGGTCTCGAACCCACAGGCTCAGGCAATCCACTCACCTTGGCCTCCCAAAGCACTGGGATTACAGGCTGAGTCACCGAGCCTGGCCCAAGATGTTTTTCGCTTACAATTTTTAAATTTCCAGAGAGCATTTTTTTTTCTGCAGAAAAAAAAGATTGTTTTTATATGACCACAAAATACTTGCCTTATAAATCCAGCTGAAATGAATTTGCTAACATCTTCTATTGAAATGGTATTTAACTTATAGTTCCATGATCCCTCAGGGACATAAAAAACATGAAGTTCCACCAACTGAATAAATTGAGAAGAACATCAGTTAAAATATTTTTGAAGTAGAAAAAACCTCCAATTGACAGCCCACAAAATTTTAAGCGGATTGGACACAACTGACATAAACATGGAATACATATATCCCTCTGAACAAACAGAAAACAAAATGAAGAATCAAAACTCTGTCCTTAAGTTGGCTACTTGGCACGTGGAACCCATTACCCCTTGGAAGTCATGTTATGTTTGGGGCTCCAAGATTATTCCAGCATCTAGGATATGTGGTGTTGTTTCTGTGGCCTGCAGTAAGACTCCCAGAGCACCAAGATCAGTTTCTTATCACCAACCTTTACCCTGTCCCACACCCCATCGCCTCAGTTCCATTGGGGTGAACTTATGGAGTCCTTATTCTTTGTGTATTGTCTCCCTGCTACAGCTCTGATGACTGCTAGCTCTCAGCACCTGCAAAAGGGTTAACACTGTGGTTTGGGGAACATATTGTTCCCAGAGTTCCAGGAAGAACCTACTCCTGCCCAGCAGTGGAGAAAGGAATGATTGTTCTTATATAGGTCATGTCTGTAAGCTTGTCTGTGCTTCTATATAACTATCTACTTTTCTATTAAAGTTTCATTGTGACCTTGATGAGAACCCTTCTATTTAGAAGAATATTAAGATTACTACCATGGAAACAGAACAATTATAGCAAATATAATCCTATCTTTGAGACTAGTAAAATTTGATATTCACTGCTTATTAAAAGTCAAAGCATTTAAATGATTCAATTCAGGCTGAGCACTGTGGTTCATGCCTGTAATCCCAGCTTTTTGGAAGACCAAGGTGGGAGGACTGCTTGAGCCCAGGAGTTGGAGACCAGCCTGGACCTCAACTCTACAAAAAATAAAAAAAATTAGCCAGGGGTGATGGCTTGTGCCTGTAGTTCCAGCTAGTTAGGAGGCTGGGGTGGGAGGATCACCCAAGCCCAGGAGATTGCCTCAGTCTTCTGAGTAGCTGGAATTACAGGCATGAGTCACCACAACGGCATTTTTTCCTCTTTTTTTGTAGATGGCTATGTTGTGCAGGCTGGTTTTGAACTCCTGGTTGCACGTGATCCTCCCACTTCAGCCTCCCAATGTGTTGGGATTACAGGTGTGATCTCGGACTTGACTTATATTTTTATTTGTTTAATATGAAAAATTTTAAACGGTAGACACATACAAATAAAAAGAACAATTCTTGATAAAACATTCAAAGTAAATCAGACATCATGACAATATACCCCTAAACATTTTAACATAATCACAGTATCATTTCCACATCTAAGAAAATTAACAATTCTTTAATATCAACTAATATCCAGTCCATATTTAAATTTTTCCAATTATTCTCAAAATTTTTTAAAATCCAGAATTCAAGAATCACACATTCCGTTTGGTTGTTACGTCTTTTAAAACCTTAACCTTGAAGTTTCTCAAACCTGTTTTTGTTTTGTTTTGTTTATCTTCATGGTATTGACTTTTTTTTAAAAAAAAGAGATTCCAGGCATGGTGGCTCATGCCTATAATCCCAGCACTTTGGGAGGCGGAGGCAAGAGGATTGCCTGAGCTCAGGGATTCGAGACAGCCTGAGCAACATGTTGAGACCTCGTCCCTACAAAAAATAAAAAATAGCCGGGCTTGGTGGCACACGCCTGTGGTTCCAACCACTTGGAATGTTGAGGCAGAAGGATCACCTGAACCCAGTAGGTCGAGGCTGTGGTGGCTGTGAGCGTGTCACGGCACTCCAGTCTAGGTGACAGAGGGAGATTCCAACTCAAAAAATACATAAATAAAATAAAATAAATAGATTGGGTTGGCTGTCTTATAGAATGTTCTACATTCTGAATTTACCTCATTATCTGTAAAGTGTCATTTAACTTGTTTCTCCAAGCTCTCTATTTCCTATAAACAGTTAACTGTACAGCCTTCAAATGACACAGGTTAGCCACCTAGGACAGAAATATTTTATAAATAGTGCCCTGTATTTCTTTCTTTCTTTCTTTTTTAAGTGCCCTGTATTTCACACAGCATTATACCAGGGCATACATAATGCTTTATCTTCAAATCTTTTTAAATTTCATTACCCAAAACAGACTGCAAGAGGCAAGAAAAGTGAAACTGTTATGAAGCTATTGGGGTAATTATAGTGTGGGACGATGGTGACTAAACCAATGTGCCAGCAGTAGAGATGATGACAAGGAGTCAGATTTTGCATATAGTTTAAAGCTGAGTCAATCGATTGGAAGCAGAGGTAGAGTCTGAGAGAAAAGGGTCAAGTAGATGAGTCAAGTATGCAAGAAGAATCAAGTATGACTCAGGGCATTTGGCCTCAGTTACACTGGACATTACCTGAGATGGGGAAAGTCATAGGTTGTACAGGCTTTCGGGAGGAGGAAAGGATTCAACTGCAGACATGATAAGTATGAGATGTCTATTGGCCGTCAGTATGTCCACTGAATATATGTATATATGAATCTGGAGTTTAGGAGAGAGGTCTGGGATGGGGGTATCAATTTTGAGATCCTTGGCACAAAGCTGGTATTTTAAATCAATTAGACCAGATGAGGTCACCAGAGAATGAGTACACATACAGAACAGAACAAAGAACTAAACCCAGACATATTCCAATGTTAAGAGGTCAGGCAAAAGAAGAAGAAACAGCGAAAAAGACTGAGAATGAATACCCAGAGAGGAGATAGGAAGAAAACCAAGATAATGTGCATGTTAGAAGCCAAGGGAAGAAATTATAAAGAAGAGAGAGTGATCAGTGGAGTCAGCTGTTGTAAACACATAGATAAGAATTAACACAAAGATTTAGAAACAAAAAGGTGAATCTAACAAAAGAAGTTTTGGTGGAATAGTGGCAGTGAAAGCTTTATTGGAGTTGGTTTAAGAGAAAATGAGTAGAGGTGTTGGAGTCTGAGATACTTATCTAGAAGATTAGAAGAGTGAATGAATGAGTGGCAGATGGTAAGACTGCCTACCAGCAAAACACTCCACTTGAGATTCGTGGTCATGAATTTAAAGTGAGAATAGTCCCGATGCTGATATATTTTTCTCTAGTCATGTTCAGCTGCTCAGCGGTAGGCACAGAACAGCAGAGAAATGTACTAACCATGTTTGTTGTTTTGCCAATGAGTACAATGAAGTGAGAGAGGGGCTAAGAGTCAAAAATATGTGCAAGCAAGGGTGTGATCAAGACTGCTCTATGGAATTTAAGCTAGGTGTAGAGGGTACAAGTGTTGAGAAATAGTACAAAAAAGGTAATAGGATCAATGTATTGGAGGACTAAACGCAATCGGGATACTAGAGGAAGTGAGCTTAGAGATGAGAGGAGTGTCATCAAACAATGGGATAAAGGAGGTAGGGGTTTTGGTGGCGTCAATATCTCACATTTTATATAATTCATATTTTTGCTTTTTCAAAACTTAAAAAAAATGTTTTTCTTATATTTTAGTATAAAAAGGTTTTTCTTACCTCTGATGAGGAAGGTCGACTTGGATTGAGTGACATGTTCACTAGTGTCTAAATGGGATAATTACCAACTGGAATTTTAAAAAACCTTTCTTCATTTAAGTAGAATTGAACAAATATTATAATAGATTTTTGCTTGTTTTAGATAGCATTCCACTCATTTCTGGGCTCTGATTTGTTCAAGAAATGGAAAAAAAGACACAAAAGCTTTAAAATACACTCAAACTGAAACTTAGGAATGTATACAATCTTTTTATTATTCTAACTCAGAAAGATATATTATTAGTAAATAGGGCTGGCAACTGCAATGAAATGAGCATATATCCTATACAACTAAACAAATGAATCAATTACATTTTAATGGACTTGTGGCCAGGACACAGTTTACTATTCTAAATAATTCATTTTTTCTTAGTCAAAAACTAAAGTTAAATATAAAGCATTTTACATAAAGTAGAAATATACTTTTGGGTCGGCCGCAGTGGTTCACACCTATAAACCCAGCATTTTGGGAGGCCAAGGTGAAAGGATTGCCTGAGCCTATGGGTTCGAGACCGGCCTGGGCAATTTGGTGAGACTTCATCTCTACAGTAAATTAAAAAAATTAGCTGGGCATGGTGGCGTGTGCCTGTAGTTCCAGCTACTTGGAAGGCTGAGGTGGAAGGATTGCCTGAGTCCAGCAGTTCGAGGCTGCCGTGGCCATGAGTATGCCACTGCACTCCAGCCTGGGTGACAGAGTGAGACTCCGACTCAAAAACAAAAAAAAGAAAGAAAGAAAGAAAGAAAGAAATACACTTTCGGAAGTAGAAAGGCTGAATTTACAATACAAATGGCTGTGGGATAATGAAAACTTATTTTTACCATGTGCATTTCTTCCTGGCCTTGGATGCCTCAGTAATCATAAATGCGAAAAATCATTCTAGATGAAAATACCAGTCTTTAAATATATCAGGCTCACGTGTGTATTATTTCCTGTTTTTCCTCAGAGGATTTATGGCAGTTTAAGGAGTGTATGATAAAATTAAAACTACATAAATAAATAATAAAAATGAAAAAATAAGGTAGCTGAATTAAACTGGATGTGGTGGCTCATACCTGTAATCCCGGCACTTTGAGAGGCCAAGGCAGGAGGATCACTTGAGCCCAGGATTCAAGACCAATCTGGTCAACATAGTGAGACTCCATATCTATTTTTTAGTAAATGAAAAGTTAAAAAAATGTAGCTGAATTATCACTGTAAAAATGAATTATCTAAGCCCGGCTTGGTGGCTCAGCCTGTAATCCCGCGCCTTTGGGAGGCTGAGGTGAGTGGATTGCCTGAGCCCGTGGGTTCGAGACCCGCCTGGGCAGCGAAAACTTATCTCTACAATAAATCAAAAATTCAGCCGGGCATGGTAGTGCATGCCTGTAATTCTAGCTATTTGGAAGGCTGAGGCGGAAGGATTGCCGGAGCCCAGCAGGTCGAGGCTGTGGTGGCCAGGAGCGGCCACTGCACTCCAGTCTGGGCGACAGAGTGAGACTCCAACTCAAAAAAAAAAAAAAAAAAAAAAGAATTATCTCAGTAGGACAATCCTAAGGGTATACTAGTCATACCAACACTACAGCAGAAGCTTTTCTAGATTTCAAAGCGTTTCTCTATCTTGGCATATATTAAAATAATTTACATTTTACAAAACTTAAAATGCCTCTGATCTGGTGTTCATTATACTCTATGAAATTCTATCAGATCCACTAATTGTTTTAATGATATCAAAATTGAAAAATTATTTCATGAAAGATATAATCTCCTCAATTAGTTTCACATATTACTCCTTATATAGATATCTTACAACAATTAAAACTTAAAATGTGATCTGTCATTTTGACCATGCTAAACACCATTCTAAATACAGATTAGTACTTTAAGAAAACATTATATAGTTCTATTTCTATCCAAGTGTTCTTTATGCCATTATACTAATATTAGTCTTTATTATGAACCTAAAAAAGCATGACATATATATATATATATAGTCACTTCCCTATTAGATAAGAATTAGTGGTGATAATCTATAATAATTATAGCATATGAACATTCATTGATTAACTGATATACAAATAATTATAGCACATGGGCATTCGTTGATTAACTGATAGAATTTTTAATTTCTGTAGATACACAAAAACTTGTCTAATTCAGAACAAATTTTTAATTAAGCAAACCCAAGACAGGTCAATCAAGTCCTGCTTTACTAGAGTCCTGAAATAGACTACCCCACTATACAGACTGAGTATCCCTAATCTGAAAATAAAAATCTGAATGGCTCCAAATGCTGGAACTTTCTGAACATCAGCATGGTACTCAAAAGAAATGCTCATTGGAGCTTTTTTGGATTATGGATCAGGAATGCTCAACCGGTAAGTACATAATGCTTATTACATATTCCAAAATCTGAAAAAATTCAACATTTCTGGTGAAATGAGCTAAATCAGTTAATAAAATTAAATTACTAGAAAAATAATAATATTAACTAGCTTACTCCATTTTGTTTAAAACTTTCATCTTAGTTACCTGCCCGACCTAAGAATCAATGCCTACGTGTGATTACAGTAACGTTCCCATGAACACAGACCCCCAGCTTTGTCTCCTTTGGGCAGGTCATGCTGATTGTTTCCTGCTGACTGTTACAGAACTCCTTAGCCATAAGTTCCATGTGATTGTATGCTTTGTTAACTAAAGTCAAATATTACACTTTGACATTTTCATAGTTTGTTCTTATATTCTGTTAGTGACCTAACCAAGGTAACTCCATTGTCTAATGATTCTCTGCCTTGTCTCTACGTAACTACCTTAAACTATATCTTAATGGCAGAACTCCAGGGAATTTCTGGGCACTGGTTATAACTAGGACATGAGATTAATCAAAGCTCCCTAAAAATCAAAGTTCCCATTTTGATTGCCGAGTTGTTATTTAATAGTTGCTATGGTCACTAAGTTGCTATATGACTAATGCCACAAATTTTACCTATAAAAGCTTGTCACAAACTGCACCGATTTGTCAAGAATTTTCGTTCCTATTCTTGACCCACGCATTAATAAACTCATAATTAATTAAACTCAACTTGCTGGCGTAGCTTCTTCTTGCTTACTCCATCATAACACTGGCCCCAAGTATTTCAGATGAGAGGTACTCAAACTGTACTTACTATTCTTTCTAAAGTAACAGCAAATAAGCCATGTTTTGGATTATAAGAACTGCCTTTGTCATTGCTGACTAGATCAGGGCTGGACACCAAATCCTGGGATGAGCAGAAATTTTTTTTTAAAAGCCTGATATGAAATAATGAGCCCTTGGGAATTATAATTGGAGAAAGAGCTCAAGATCCAGGTTTAAGTAGATACTAAAGCATAAACAATACAGAAAGAGAAGCCATGAGGTAGTATCACAACCATGAGGGAAACCCATGTTATGAGAAAGCTGTAATTATCTTTAAACAGAGGTAGAAAAACAGATAAAGAATAGAGAAAATGACTAAATAAACTAGTAGTGAGAGGCATACGGGAAATTAACACAGCTAATTCATATTTAAGCTAAGCACTAGAAAGAAGAGTCAAGGAGTCTTGTTGCTGAAGTCCCCAGTCTTGGATCTATTTCCATCCTGGCCTATCAGTGTGACAGGTCCTGTTTTGAGATTTACGTGGTATATCTGTCTCCTCTACTGCTCTATGCTGATCTTCACAATCATCTTCCCATGGCTTGAGGTAACCTGAGTTAATCTTTGCTATCAAAACCAAAAGAGGCTAATTAAAACTTTAGGCATGCTTAGAATTTGTAGGTGGTATGAGCCAAATCACATTTCACACGTTAAATCTTATTAATGTTTGGGATTTTCAAATTTTTTACCTTTTACTAATTAGCTAATGGACAAAATTATGCCAACAATGAAACAAAAGGAGATTGATATCTCAATAATCAAAAATCAAGTAACTATGGCGTTCCAGTCTAATCTTTTATTTATTCCATAATTTTGCTTAACAACCCTCTTGCCAGGAATGGAAAATCAACTTTATCTTGCTTACTAACTCCCATCAGCTGGTACCGACTGCTAATAGTGAATTACTAAAACGATCTCAAAGCCACATCTAACCACAGTAGGAAAGAGTACAGAAGTGGATTATCATTGTCAACTAGAGGTTTGAGAAGGCATAACTGTTGGTAAATAAAACACCTATCTGGCATCTCTGATCTAGTCTCTACTTCCAACAGAATTCATTATCATGCTTTCTCTGCACTTTTCCAAAATGATTTTGGATGTTAGTGGCAGAACCAAAAGTCAGGCTTCAGAATGTGATACTCTGCTCAGTGCCTCAAAATAAAGGTTCTTGTAGTTTGTATTTCCTATCTGATTTAGATAATATGGCATATAAAAAGATGTTCAGTGGACTTTAGAAAATACTAAATACTAAAATTAGAAACCTCACATGGGCTATGTCTAAATATACCAGTAGAGTAGAATCTCACACAAAGTAATCAGATAAATTGGGAGCCAGAAAAGCAGGTCTCTAATCCTATTATATAACCCATAAGACCACTTTTTGGTCAAATTCTCAGTTTCTTTGTCTATAAAGTAGGTAACTTGAACTCTTTTTTTTTGAGTTGGAGTCTCACTCTGTCACCCAGACTGAGTGCAGTGGCCGCTCCCGGCCACCACAGCCTCGACCTGCTGGGCTCCAGCGATCCTTCCGCCTCAGCCTTCCAAGTAGGTAACTTGAACTCTTAAAGATTTTTTGCAGCTCTAAAATTATTTGATTACTTGATTTTCAAGGAATGCCAAAAGTGATAGGGAAACTTGTATTCTGGAAAAAGAAGTCAGAATACAGTCAACATTATGCCAGATGATAGGAATATTTCTTGTTATTCAATTCCTGATTCTTAAATCATCAAGGCCTGAAGTTTATCTGATCAGGATAAATTTGGATTACATATATGCCCTGAGAATTCTGCTCTATCTAGTTCATGGTTAGTTTGTACATAAAATTATAATTCTGTTAAGCGAGTCTCTGTTTTAGTTAAATAGATTAAAACACCTGAGGGACTCCAGAGCCCGTAAGCATCCATAGTCCTTAGACTTCTAGAACCAAATGAGGAATGAGGTTTATTTTCCACACAGGTCCTAGTGTAGACAAAATAGCATACTTGGGATTTTTCTCAGTATATATAAGAGCATTTTAGGGTGGCAGACGGTCTCCTAGAGAGTAACATAATGATAAGGAATTAGGATTTATGTTGGAAAATAATTATAGGATGTTGGGTTTTTTTCATATATCCCTTCAAGGCCTTTTGAGCAAGTAGAGTGTTCATAATTATAAACCAGCAACAGGACATTTTAAGCAAATTTCTGCTCACCCAAATACAAAAATTATTTCTTGTTTGGTTTCTAAAGGGATAGAGATATCTTCCTGAAAGAATACGGAGTTTTTGAACCATACACATGGTCAGTGACAAAGACTGCTCTTTCACTTTTTGTAACTTTAGGAGGCTTTTCAAAAGCGACAACAGAGGTAAAACCGTCTCTCCATTAAAAAAAAAAAACTGGAATTATAACTACGGAAAGGTAAGGCAGTAAGGTAGTGGAAAACCATAAATTTAAAAAATAAAGGGTTTTAATGACACCTCACTCACTGAAAATGGGTCATAGTATCCATAAATTGAGTTAAAAATACAACGAAGTCTTATGATCCTCTTACCAGATGACTTAAGTCCTTTTGCTGTTTCTTTTGACTAAATTTCCTTATAGTTCCATACTCAATTATGAAAACTAATTACTACTCCAATATCTGAGCACCTCCATGGAAAGAAAAACATTCCTGTATAAAATGGGATAAAAATCAGATCTAAGTTCTAGTCTCTTCTCTGCCACAAACTAGCTATATCACCATAAGCAAGTCACCCATTCTCTCCAGATTTCAATTTCCTTAGCCACTATAAAAGCAGAATACCATAAGCTCGCTTTAGAAGGGAGTCAGAATTGTGAAATCTTTCTTTAAAGAGATTCAGTTTTCAGTTAAGCTACAAAGTAAGGCATGTGAATGTTCACTTTATTTAACCTAAATTTAGACCCATTAGCTTTCTCCAAACTCTACACCTGCCACTCAGAATCCCAAGAAACCTCCAGCAAAGGACTCATTAGCAGATCTTAACATTAAGGACTTCTTGTAAACAACCTATCTAATACTGAGTATTTCCTGTGGGCTTGTAATAATGGGCTATACAATGCTTAGCTATTTCAGATATAATTGTTATTTCTGTGTTTTGAATTGCTGTATATCACTATTAAACAGTAATAATCCAAGTGTTAATATCATTTAAAAATAAATAAAAAACAGGGTACTAATTGATTGAATAAGGTAAAGATCCCAGGTCAATTTAAACTGAGAGTGCTCTGCTGACAACACATGACAGTTTTCTTGGCTGTGTTTTCTTGCCACTCTGTTAAAGGATTCTCTTAGTGTCAGGTTGTTTCTACAAAGCCTGTCTTTGACCTTCTGAAATGTGAACATCTACATCTGTATGACTGGTAAAGTCTTTGAGATGTTTTAGATTGTTGTGGAAGGTCAAAGAACATCTACTGATAGTTATAATAAGGAAACTATATTTACTGATTATTATTATTTTTTTTTTGAGTAGGAGTCTCATTCTGTTGCCCAGGCTGGAGTGCAGTTGCACACACACACAGCCACTGCAACCTCGACCTGCCGATCCTCAGCCTTCCTTCCGAGTAGCTGGAACCACAGGCACGAACCACCATGCCTGGCTGATTTTTTGATTTATTGTAGAGATGAGGTCTCGCCAACTTTCCTGGGCTGGTCTCGAACCCGCGGGCTCAGGCAATCCTCTTACCTCGGCCTCCCAAAAGGCTGGGATTATAGGTGTGAGCCACCACAACTGGCCTTATATTTACTGCTAATCATTTCAGATGCAATTAAACTTAATTTTTTAAAAAGCGAACTCTATGTTTTTATTCTTTCCTATCTTCAGTTGAAACTTCAATTAAACACATGTTATAGAAAATAATATAATATCTGGTGTTTAAGACATCAATCCAGTCTGTAGTTTCCCAGTGCAGTGGTTAACAATAACAACTTTTTGAGACTGTTTAAGCCTAAAACACAATATGGGCTTTGCTAATTCCTCAACACTCTTCTTCCCAGAAGAAAGGATTGAACTGTGTATTCCCCAAAATCCCTTCCAGCACTCACACCCCATTGTTCTTATTATAGAGTTGAGAGGTATTCTACAACTACTATAAAATGGAACATTTTGGGAGTAAAGGTATTTGTGTTCAATCTTACAAATCTGTCAAGTTTGAATGAGACTTTGGTACTTTATGGTTAACAACGCACCCACAGTGAAAAAATTAAAATACTATTGGGGGAAAAAGGAGAAACAATACTTATTATCTTTCATATTCTTTATACACATTATTTCATCTCAATCTCAAAAGTGGTTCTAGGGAGAAGCTGTATTACTTCTTTTTGAAATGAGGAAACAAAGGCTAAGTGAAATTTAAGTGGTTTGCCCAAGGATACCCTAAGTGCTAGAGCCAGAATTCACACTTGGGTTTTGAACTCATCATTTACATCCATTGTATGGACCAGGTAAAAAGTTATCTTTGCATTGCCCGTTTTTGTGAGCCGAAATAAGCTGTTGAGTAAACAAGTTCGGTTTTCTTGACCCAGAGCAAATTATGCATGATTTTCTCATTCTCACTAACCAAAAAATTCGAAAGGCACTCATTATCCATGTTTACAGAGAACATTACTGTATCCAGAGATAGACTCCTCCAACAGATAGAGGAAACGTTTGTCTTAAGCACTGTGACATACACACATATTGGCTGAGCCTATTTGGTTAGAGCTTACTGTCTGTCCTGCAAACTCCTTTGGGGATCAACTTCAAGCAGGAGGTAATGAATTACAAACGAAACACAAAAGAGCAAACTTTCCCGAAATACAAAAATAAGTTTTATTTTATATATACATACATATATGTATTTATATATTTAAAAGTGTATATATTTTTTGAGTCAAAGGTCTCACTTTGTCACCCAGGCTGGAGTTCAAGTGGCAGATCATGAAGACAGATGGCTAACCGCGGGGCCCAGGCGATCTTTCCACCTCGGCCTCCCAAGAGTCTGAAATCACAGGTGCATGCCACCACGCCTGGCTAATTTTTTTATTTTGTCCTAGAAACGAGGTCTGGTTAGGTTGCCCAGGCTGGCCTTGAAGTCCTGGGCTCAAGCGATCCTCCCGCCTGGGCCTCCCAAAATGCTGGGATCATAGGGTGAGCCACCGCGCCTGCGGAAGTTTTATTTTTAAAAGTACGATAAGCGTTCGTTCTTCCAATGCGATGGGTAACAGAGGCGACAGGTGTCATCTCCAGGCAGCACCCTGGCTTCTTCACAGCCTCTTCCGGAGAACCGACTCAAGAGGCGAGAGGCGACAGGAGTCACGCCAGGAGCCGCCCTTGTTTCCTCCGGCGCTCGGCGCCCGCGGCCCGCCGGGCTCCCCGGGGTCGGGTCCGGCGCAGAGTCTGGGCGGCGGAGTGGACTAAGGACGGCGGCGGGACAGACTCGGGGCGCGTAGAGGCCCCGCCGAAC